AATCATCACATTTTAAAGCCATTCATTGGTCACATTACTACACTTAGTCACGGGAGGGGTGCGAATAACAATTCCCATATAATATTGTTTTTATTGTTAATTATTTTTATTATTGGGTAAATTATTGTTGAATATTCATTTGGTGTTGTTGATATATTATTATCATATTTAATCTATATAAAAAATTTTCAAACATTTAGAATTAGAATGTAATATTATAAATAACGTTTTACTAATAATAATGACAATACCCTTTATGCCATGAATTATTATTTGATAATATTGGTAAATGTTCAGATATTAAATCAATAACCTTTAAAACATTGCTAAATGATATAATATACATTAATTAAGTAAACTAAGTATTATTGATCAAGCAAATAATAAGACCCATTCTTACTTTTGAATGAAACCTCTTACTCCACTTAATGTCACAAATTTAAGCCCTCCATTATCAATTGGTAATGTAAATATCACATGATCCTGCATAAATTTCATATCTATTATATCAAATGAATCAATTGATGTTGTTGCTGGAAGTAATAGTGTTGCCTGAAAAAAATTTATCATATATAACATATTTATCAATAATAAATTGAATGATTTTGAAATTTTAAATTATAAATATAAAAAACCTTTTTAAAAATCAATAATTTTATAATAACTGAGAATTCTTTACAAGACAAATAAAGTTTCATCAACATCAATTCACCAACAGACCCATTAAGTAATGAGTATAATGATGAATAATTCATTGTTGAAAAAATTGATGTTAATTTATCATCATTAGAACACTCGGAAACCTTTATATCATCATCATTATTTAATAATAGTGGATGGTTGGTTGCTAAGTTTATTAAATTGTTTTGCAGCACTTTTGAACTTTTATATGACAAACTCGTAAGTAATGGTAAAAAAGCTTGTTCACCACTACTACCATTGAATTCTTCTGAAATGGTATTGTTTTCCATTATAAAAATTTCATGTGACAGACATCAATGCTGCGCAAATTGTTCAATGAGAAATCTCCAAAATAAATAAATTTTATAAAATTATGAATTTGAATTTTCCTAATTTATAGTCATGACAATAACAAAATGAGTGATTAACAGAGAATTTATTTAAATTGTTCAGTTATTACAGATAATACCATCATCTACCAATAAGTAATTGGTAATATACTTCATAGATTAGAATATAATTTCACTAATAATTATTTGTTATTTGAGAATTAGCAAAACTCATAAAAATATGGTGAATGAAATTAGTGGTGAGGTTAATGATTTTTATAAAATGGGGATTCTTACAGCATAGATTCAAATTAAGGAATTAATTGTTTGGTTAAATTTTCTCAGCCAAGTTTATTCAATCCATTTAAATTTAATAATTAGTTATTCTAAATAATAATGAACATAACGAATTATTATTATGTGGTATTATTTATAAAGAAGGATTTTTAATCCTTTTAAGGAAATTGTCCTGAATCCATTCTTGTATATATTAAAAAAAAAAGACTGCTCAAGGGATCAAAAGACTACCTTCTGCTGGTAGAATACCAAGATCATGGCCCTGTAAAAAATGACATTCCAGAATATCTCCGTGATTATTTAGAGGTTTCACAAAATTCGTGAATATTTTTTGTGGATAATTACGATTATAATAATAAGGAATAGTAATAGTAGACAAAAAAATTTATATTCCAATAAAAAAATGAATGAAGGTATTTTTTTCTTACACAGAAGATAGCTATTTTAAAAATATGTAGTAATAGTAAAAGGATTTTTACATTGTAATTTAATATTGCTTTATAATAAAATAATTAG